GGTACCCAAACAGCCCTGTCACGGCTTTTAGCAAACCCGCCGCCCAAGCAGCCCGGCACCCAAACAGATCAAAAAAAAACCCTGCACAGGTACCCAAACAGCCCTGTCACGGCCTTTAGCAAACCCGCCGCCCAAACAGCCCTGGCACCCAAACAAGTCAAAAAGAAACAAGAAATCGAGTCCAGCCCAGGAGCATCCCGCACACTGGCTCAAGCAACCCAAACAGGTCAACAAGAAACCCTACACAGGTACCCAAACAGCCCTGTCATGGCTTTTAGCAAGCCCGCCACCCAAACAGCCCTGGCACCCAAACAGGTCAAAAAGATACCCTACACAGGTACCCAAACAGCCCTGTCACGGCCTTTAGCAAACCCGCCGCCCAAACAGCCCTAGCACCCAAACAGGTCAAAAAGAAACCCCACAGAGGTGCCCAAATAGCCTTGCCACGCCGCAAGTGGATAGACTTTCCATAGGGACGCACAGGCTGCAAGTGGAAGTTTTGCCGCAGGGGCCCTGCCCAACCAAACGGTACTGTTTGAAACCTTGTACCCCGGAAGCAGTGCCAATTGAAACCCTATACCCCGGAAACAACTCTGAACAAAAAAACTTCCCAACCCAACGGTACTATTTGAAACCCTGTACCCCGGAAACAGATCCAAAAAAAACCTACCGGGTACAAAAAAAAACAGTCCGATGGTTAGTATAGGCCTTGTGCAAAACAATGTGATGATTCTTTACCGACGGTTGCAGGCAATAGTACATACCGAATACATTGACCCCAGGTCAACCACCCCAATGTATATAGGTAAATGTGTTATACATGGCATGTCTGGGACTGGAAAGCCAAAAGAACTGTATCAAAATGCTTCTCACTGCCCAGGCTGGCACAGATTGGACAATCATTTCCCAACCGATAGTAGACCATGTCGCCCAGGCCCAAACCATCTTCTATCAAGAACTCGGCTGGCACATTTGTAACATCCCTGGCCTCTACGCAGATTCTGTAGTGAAAACACTCCCAAGATTCTGTAATGAAAACATCCAAAATAGAAAACACATACTAAAACAAACTCATTTATATGAGAAGGGTCCAACCGGGATGTTGGGCCTTCCCCTTTCTCCTTCGACTTGTCGGGTCACAGCTTCTCCTCGTGTTGGAGCAGGAAGCTGGGTTCGGCGCCCAACCAAGCACCTCCCAAAGTCATGGAGAGGGGCGCGAAGGAGGCGCCTCCCCAATCCTCAGCGCTTGGGGCTCCTGTCCTACATCCTCAGGTTCGGTGAGGCTGGGGTGGGCGCCAGGGGGGCTCCGTCCCTACCTAACCTGAGGATGTGGGACAGGAGCCATGGCGCGTTCGGAAAACCCTCTGGGCCGAACGGCGAACGGCGCCGTTTCGGCGGCGAGTCGACCGGAGTCGGCTGGGCAAACGAAACAAGATCGCTTTGGAATGACCGGAGTCGCCTGGAGTCGACCCCTTCGTACCTCGGAAAATGGGTGCCTGTTCTTATACCTGGTGTTTATGGGGTCATGTGCCATTTTCTAAGGTACTTTGGAGGGTCCAGGTGGAGAATCCAGCTTGAAGGTTGCAGTTTGCTTTGCGACAAATGTGGGGGGGAACAAACATGATATGGACATGTTCGTGTCTTCTACTGCGGTGAGGTGACCCATAAAATGGACGAACAGCATTTGACAACAAAAGGGTGGGCCGGGTGGGCTTTTTGTAACACATAATTATTCTGTAGACCCAATGTCCATGACACTGCTGATGGACTATTGTATTCTACGACAACTTGGAGACGTGTTTTGAGACGGTTCACTCAGTTCAGGGCCTCTGGATGTCTGTGGCTTTTCTCCAAGATATCGGAAACTGCACACCGTGCACAAGAAAATAACAATCCCTGGTCTCGAAAATGTCTTCATGAGTATGACCAGACGTCCCCTCTCCTCATGTCTACAGTCTGTAACGTTTCACTCTTGCACCAACAAATTGCAAGGCAGAACCCCATCCAACGACAGCTGGTCACTTGGTAATTCGCTGACAACTGAGACACCAAAGCTGATGGGAGGAGCCCCTCTTGAGACACCGAAGCCGTTCCCTTCAAACGTGCCAACCGCCGCCGCCAACCGCCGGCAACCGCCCACCGTCTGAGGCGCGATGATCCCCGCCTCTAATCCCGACTGGCCCTTCCTTAGCACCAAAGGCGTCTGAGGCGCGTGGATCCAGGACGCTGCTAGCGCGGAGCCCGGAATCCCGGCTCCAAAGAACCCAAAACATCCAAAACCACAGACCTTGACCTCGACCTGGAAGATATAGTGGTAACTGGGATCCAGTCGTACCTCCTCAGATGCTATGACTGGACCTGGCACCCGCCTCAGTCCCACCGAAACGAAACGAAGGCACGACTGGAGCTCTAGGGGTGGTCACCGGGGATCCTGGGTTTTGCCAGGGCGCCCATTTTGAGCCGTTTTTTACCGTTAACGTCGCTCCTCACGCATCGGACGGTCACAGTCACAGGGATGCGACCTGCATTACAAGCATGACGCCAGGCATGCCCAGACTGCATGTAGACTCCGCTATTGAAGGGAAGATGTGTTTTAGAATGTTCTCCATCAGAAAAACAAACAAAATAACAACTTAAGTTCACTTCGGTTGTCACGGCTTGGGCTGGCTGGAACTTTAGGAGCTATCGCCAGACCTGCCCCCACCATGGCATCGTCCCAAATCTCCCGCCGCGTCCCGGCTGCGTCCCTGATCATCCCTTGACCGGCCTCCAGTCGTACCGGACTCGCTTCGTTTCGGTGGGACGAAGGGTCCACAGGTCGGTCCGAAGGGTTCACATATCTGAGGAGGTACGACTGGAGGTGTAGGGATGTGAACTTAATTACATCTTACATGTTGCGCAAGATCATTCCCGTCCTTTTTTGCCAATCGTGCTGACTGTTTGGCCCACTTTCTATTTATCGGTCTGAGCCGCTGGTCTGAGTCTGTTAGGTATGTCCCCACATCTCTTCAGTAACCCCTGCTGCGCTCTCGCCGAAGTATGGAAAGTCCCATCCGGACTCGCAACTGCTGCGTATCGCCCATTTTATTAAACGTATTCCGGAAGGTACTGCAGTGGGGTCACCTCTGTCAATGACCTGAAAACATACCAACAACGGATGTCTAGTTCGACTATCCCAGTTCGACTACCCCAGGTGACGCTCACTAAACCTCTGTTGGTCACCTTGGACTCCGGTACAGCACCTCGTCCACGACCTGTCCCAACCAGGCGTCCAAAACATCGCGTTGTCAATCTGCGCCTCAAACGACCGAGTTCTCACGGGGGAAGGGTGAGGTCTAAGACCGTGAACCTACCATATCAGTCCCTACAAGTCCAGGCTGGCCCAGTAGAATCGGGCCTTTGACATCCTCAGGTGAGCTGTGCTCAAAACGTGTGGCATCTGCCTATGTCGTAAGACTTTCCTTACGCAGCAGCTTACGCCTGGCTTACGCCACCACAATGGCAGCTTACGCGCACACTTTGCACACAAAGGGGCTTTACGCAACACTTACGCGAACACAATCTTGCACCCGGCCACAGCGCCAGCTTGCGCGCCATCTGTTTTCCAAGCAAAGCACAGCACACAGCAGGTTTGTTACGTCCGCGGCTGTAGGGCCGTGAGCAGCCAGGATTTCGTAGATGGTCTGGACAATGCTTTGCCTTTGGCGCCATTGCAAGTCAGAAAAAGCCTGCTTTTTAGGAGGCATCGTGGGCCACCGTCTACAAAAGAGAGGGGGGCTTACGCGCAGCTTACGCGAAGCTTACGCGCGCCTTACGCGTATTACCGACACCAAAACCGATAACTGCATGGTGACATAGTGTGTCTGACAACTGCTGGTAGACTTTATGGCTATGGGAGTTGTTTGTATGGCTATAGGAGTAATGTTTGCATGTGTTGACCCATAAAATCTCTGTCCTGATGCCTATGTCCTGTATATAAATGACTACAGGAACCCCAAGAACCCTTCTTTCTGTGGAGCCAATCACCTTCGACCATACCAATTGCCAAGAAAAAGATCCAATGCAAGGCTTCATCAACAAAGGTCTCCATAGAATTTCCAAACATTTCAAGAATACATGTGACATGTATGTTAAATTTCGACTTGCTTACAAGGCTTACGCAAGTTTCATCTCACAAAAAACGCTTACGCAACCTTACGCACATCAGAGTTTTGCTTACGCGAAGGATTCATATGACAAGCCCACTACTAAACATGAACAGGGAGGTTCTTAGCGCGGCTCAGGTAGTCTTTTGGTATGACCACCTCCAGTAAAAGTGAGGTCATTGACCTGCAGGGATGACAGCACGGGCGACCAGGCGTTCGTCTGCCCGTCCCGTACCTCCGGTTCTGTACGGCGCCCCCCCGGTTTGCGTTGCCTGATCTGGTGTGAGGGGTTCATAGCGACAGTCAGGAAAAAAACAGGAACCTTCCAAGAGTGAAGGAAGTTCAGGAATCACATGGTTCCTGATACAATCCACCCACCTGAAAAAGGGCAGCACCCTGTTTCAGCTACGCCAGACCCGTCTCTTCACTGAAACCGCCGGGGAGACCCGGTCTCGAGTGAGTTCCGTGTGTCGTTCCGTGAGTTCCTCGTTGGTTCACGTGTCGAGGCACGTTGGGGTGCGCCAGGCAGCAATACTCGGGGATCAGAAATTGGTAGAAACCAATCTCCTGCGCGTAGCGGACCATCTCATAGGCCTCAAACCCAGGCATCTGCGCATGCATCCAGGAAACAACATAGGAGGGACTGCGGCGATGGCAAAAACTGAATTACAACTGTCACAACTGAGAAATTTGAGGAACATCTCGAGTATCTCCAAAAATATATGATGTTATATGTTGGTTTAGACTTCTGAAATGCTTTAATAGCTGCTCTTTTGGTCAGTGATACGGATTTCTGACACCGCAGAATTTTCCCAGAACATCAATACTCTCCTTCCTCACCGTACCTGAGGTTCGGTACGAAAACGGATCCCTAGGGGAGAGATGTTGGATCCACCGCCGGAACAACAAGCAGATCGACCCGGAAAGGGCTCGTGTTGTTCCCGACTCGAGCTCCGAGTGGTGGCGCAGGAGGTCCTTGCATCGTCCGATACTAAGGTGATCCTTTTGTTTTAAAGGGGGGCATAGCATGTCCAATGACCAAGACCAACAGCAGTGGATGATGGTTGATGAAGGCCTTGTTCCCGATAAGAAGGAAAAACATGTATATGATCTCCTTATGATCCCGTATTGGGAGTGCTTTCTGATTTTCTTGAGGGTGTTCACAAAACAAACTATAGAGGACCAAATGGAAGATGACCCCCAACTTCACCAAAACTAAAAAACAACTTTGTAACTGTATTATATATATACACAACTACTGGCTACTATAACTACTAAATATATAGGCTGGGGTATATGCCAATCACCAGTCACAGTGGATGATGGTTAGGTTGCAGGCCTTTCTCCTAAAATGATGATCTTCTGTGATGTTCTTCTTGGCCGCCTGTTTATATACAGGTCCTTGCCGGACAGACCGATATCTACCGGACCGATGCACCACTGACCGACGGTGACAGGCGCCTCCTTCATGCATCTGTCAAGGCTTGCTTTCCTCGGTGCGGCGATTCCGACCGATCGAAGAACAGGATTGACCCACGACCGAGAGTACACGAGCGGAATGGAAGATTGACCTACGACCCCAGGTCAAGCACCCAATGGTGATATGACATGCATGAAGTGTCTGGGAAGAGCTCTACAATGTATATAGGGGAGATCAAAGACCATGCTCAAGTGAACACAAGCAATGGGCCCCTTCACAAGTGAGCCTGTCTGGGAGTCCACTTACAGGTCTCCCATCTAAGATCCACATACGCATTCACATCCCATCACTAGTAGCATTTTCGGTGACCAGCGGTTCCGAAGAAAACACAGTGTGTTTGTTTTGGGGGCGGGGGGCGGGGGCGGGGTTAAGGGTGCGAAAGGGATTTTCCTCCAGAAGGGTGGCGCCATGGGGTTTATTAATCAAGAGTTTACATTACTTACCACGTTTAACATGTCAACATTCACCACCTCTCCCAATCTGCAACTCGCAGATTAGGTGCTGACCAACGCCGCTGAACCCGCCCTTCTCGGCCCAGCCGCTCCATGAGCTTCTCGGGGAAGGCCTGGGGCGCTATCTTCCTGGCATCGGAAGATGGCCTTTCTCTAAAGTATCGGGGTTGCATGAAGACCCTATAATAGATGGGTATATATTTGTTCATCAACAGTGGACCGTTTTCAATGCCCTACACCTCCAGTCGTACCTCCGCAGGTTCGGTATGACTGGACCTGACCATGGCACCCACCTACCCCAGGTCGTCCCAGCGGAACGAAAGGAGTCCGGTACGAGTACGGAGGCCAAACGGATGACATGATGTGATCATTGTTTACAAACTGTGGCAAATTCAGTGGGACCCCCCCAACAAAATGATGTTGTTCTTGTTCAAACTGGCCGACACGCGACTTCGTTCGGTGGAGTTCCGTTCAAAAACCGACTTCCTGACTCCTTCAGTTTGCCGGGAGTTCTAAAGGCGCCTACCTCTTGGTATACCTGTTCTTGTTGAGTGGGGAAACTACTCCCCCAAGGACTGGTCCAAGGTTATCAACTGACTGGGTATGTATCAGTAGAAAGAGCAGTATAACAGGAGAACACCGGAGACTGGGACTACTGACTACTGACTGGTCAAAGGTTATGTAAAAGAAAAATCGGAGAAACACCGCGTCGCGTTGGGACCTGGAGCATCAAAGTCTCCCAAGGGTCCATCTGGCTCTGAGCCATCGGGAACTCCCGGGGTACGATCTGAGAGGTCTCCTATAGGTCCTAGATATTCCTAGATAATCTTCTCTGAATGGTTTTAGGCCCATCTGAATGTCTTGAACAGGTTGATATTCAAAGATCTGGATTCCAGGATACTGGCCAAATAACTACTTGATGATCTTGATGTCCTACTCCAACAATCCTTGGCTTGCATTGCCTTGCGCCCTTGTTTATAGGAGAAATCCAATCCTTCTGTTGATTAGACATGTTGCTTCGATGCACTCTACCTTACAGGAATTGACATTCCTATCCAAGAATCATCCGGAATCATCCAAAGGTTGGTATATTTCACATAATTATATATCACTTAATAACTCTGGGACTGTGATTGGCCGAGAAAAAGCCCAGGGGTGGTGGTGCTTTGGGGGGACTCCCAGAGCGGCAGGCCAAACGGCACTCCCAAACGGGTCGTGTCTGGGCGTGGATGAACTCCCAACAGCCGCGCCACGCGGTGAACCCCCAACGCGCCTGAGAAACTCCTCGCCCATGGTGAGGAAGGGCACGGCGGCCTACGGATGAGGTGTTCCGCCACGGCGGGAGAGGGAGAGTCATAGGAATAGCCCAACACCTCATCTGCTTCGGGACATATGTGGAGTCATACGTAGCATACATTGGGCATCAAGGAACCGCACTAAATTACCTAATGACCTGGCTTGCAAGCCAGGTCAGGTGGTTTAAGGATGATCCCCGTGATCATGTTGTCCAAGCATCCAACACTGGGTGGTGGCTGCTCCCCCCTCACCGACGACGCGAACGTGTTCGATCCAATCTGCGTGTTCGATCTGTCCATCAGCGGTTGATCCAATCCTCGGGGCTCCAGGTGTTGACTTACACCCCGGAAGGTGACCTAACCCAAACGCTCCATGGAACTGCCATATCTGCCGATCAGTTGGAGTGGCGCCAGGGGGGTCAATGGGGCGGCATATATGGCCCTCCCATGGAGTGTATGGGTAACATGGAACCTGAACATGGACCTTGGGAAGACGCTGTCTTTTTCTCAGGGGGTTTTCACGTTCGTGGGTCTCTTTTTAAGGGCGTAGCCTTCCTTACGTGCAGATAGCAAAAGATATCAAAAGATGTATACCTGGTTCTTCAAAGTGACCTTTTGATAACCTGGTTTGAGGTCACTTAAGCCTCCTAAGGGTCACTTAGGAACCTTCAAAAGGTCACTTTGAAGAAGCTGGTACCAGGGTCATCCAACGGGTGTCCAATAGACTACCTTACCCTGCTTACAGGTCTCCAGACAGGGCACCCGGACAGGAAGTGCTAGGTATAGAGTGCATTGAAGAGGCAGAATGCCCGGCTCGTGCCAAATTCCGAAGGGTGAGAACTGAAAACCAACATCAACGCCCATCCAAACCCGAAACATCTCCCTAAACCCTCTGTTTTCGTACCTCCTCAGGTTCGGTATGACTGGACCCTCCTGGCAGTCACCCCAGTCACGCCTTCGAAACGAAGGTACGACTGGAGCCCTTTGGACCTCTCTAAACACCACATTACCGGTGGATGAGAACCGCGCGGTGCAACACCGCGTGCAGCGTAGGCGTGTTGCACATGCAGAAGGGCTGAAGGGATGTGCTATGTATTATGGATTATAGTACGCCGCCCTATGTTGGAAGTAAAAAGCGTTTCTTGAGGTAGAAGGCAATGATGAACATGATTAAGTAAGTGCAAAAGAACAAATAGAAGAAACTCTTGAGATGTCAAGCCAGCAATCACATAGAAGAAACCCTGTGGTTCATGAGGCGCCATAAATGCATGGAAGAAACATGAAGAAACCCCTTTAGCGGAATCGTCCAATGGGATGGCAAACTATATATATATACCAGGAGTCACATGTACGGGGTGGTGTGACTCGTCCCATCCAGGGGCTGTGGATGTTCTCCCAGGCGTTTCAACCGACGGGGCTCCGAACAGCCCGGCCCAGCCCACCGCCGGTCTTGCAGGGTCGAAGGCCACCGGTGATTGGTGGAGATGGGACAGGAGCCCAAATGGGACATGTCATCATGCCCCTAGGGCTCCAGTCGTACCTCCTCAGGCACCTGGACCCTCCTGGCACCCAGCCCAGTCACACCTTCTGAGAAGGTACGACTGGAGCCCTAGGGCTTACTAGCCCGGTGCGTCTAAGACGGCACACTCGTTCACCTCACCTCAGGTGGAATGCCCATGGAGCTCACCAACGGCTTCATGGCCGGGTCAGCTAGACCTGCAGTGCCGAACCGGAAGACGCAAGAAGTGCCGAACCACCCAGAGATCAGCAAAAAGAGCACACCAGGAGTTACAAGACGGAGTGGTTTTTAGTCCCCTTACGTGAGTGGATGTGACAGGAGCACCCCGACGGCACCCTCCCATGGATCGCACCCCTAACCTTTGTGACTGCAGGTATATATTACACCCGGGAAAAGACTTACATGGAACCGGTCTACACGGACCAGACTGGAAGACTATTCTCCTCTACAACCCAGTGGTTGTCAGGTTCCATGTTCATTTTCCCGGGTGTATATAACGTATAGAATACCAGGACCCTCCTGTCGGGGTGTCTATTTATAGCCCCTTAGCTGTGATTCGGGTTGTCCACTAACCACCCAACTGCTGGGGGTCCTGGTAGATGATAAATTCTGCATACCATCTGCCCTCTTTCTGTTGATCATGTTAGTTGTTGTCCTCTCACATGCTGAAAAGGCAACCTTTTGTTGTTTAAAACATCTCGATGCTTTCGATTTGCGGGGCTTTCGCCGTCCCACTGGGATCCGATGGACATCGCATGATGGACGGTCTCCAAACAGGGCAGTGGGGGCAGTGCAACTGCGGATGGCCGTACCCCCTTAAAACTATAAGAATGGCCGTGCAAATGCATAATGCATACCCTAGGGCTCCAAGTGCCTTCTAAGAAGGGTGTTTGGGGTGGGTTTAGAGGGTCCAAATACCTTCTGAGGAGGTACTTGGAGCCCTAGGGATATGATACTGCATATTTTTATATTACAAATGTCTGTCTGTTGACGTTTCGAACGTACAAAGCAGTTGTCTCATTTGTCGCTGCATCGTTGTGAGCTCCAGCCTCAAGCAACAATCGCACAACTTCCGAGTGGCCATGATTGGCTGCAATGAGCAAAGCCGTTAGCCCATCTGAATCTGGTACTACTGCATCTTTGTCAGCTCCAGCCTCAAGCAACAATCCTGCAACTTCCACGTGGCCGCTTTCAGCTGCAATGTGCAAAGCCGTCCAACCATTTGCGTCTGGTGCGTCTCTGTCAGCTCCAGCCTCGAGTAGCAATCCCACAACTTCAAAGTGGCCGTCCTGTGCTGCAAAGCGCAAAGCCGTTGCCCCATCCGTCAGTGCTGCATCTTTGTCAGCTCCAGCCTCGAGCAACAATCGCACAACTTCAAAGTGGCCGTCCTGTGCTGCAAAGTGCAAAGCCGTTGCCCCATCCGTCAGTGCTGCATCTTTGTCAGCTCCAGCCTCAAGCAACATTCGCACAACTTCCAAGTGACCTTCCTGTGCTCCAAAGTGCAAAGCCGTCCAACCATTTGCGTCTGGTGCATCTTTGTCGGCTCCAGCCTCAAGCAACAATCCCACAACTTCCAAGTGGCCGTTTTCAGCTGCAATGTGCAAAGCCGTCCAACCATTTGCGTCTGGTGCATCTTTGTCGGCTCCAGCCTCGAGCAACAATCGAACAACTTCCAAGTGGCCGTTCTGAGCTGCAATAGATAAATACAAATAAGCGCCCTCATTCGGGTCCATTGGCTTTTGAAGCAGCCTCTCAATGTGAGCCCAATTATTCTCCTGGCAGCTCCCGAGCAGTTCTTGTCCCATGGTCTCATCAATGGCACACAAGGGCAGAATTACAAGCTGTACACTTGATAGTGGTCGTAGAGGCAAGTCATCCTCCAACTCGCCCATTTCGTCACTGATGAGTCTTTGCTGAAACCTTGAGCACCCAACTTGAGCTGAAAGAAGCCGCTTGAGGTCCCGAACCACTTTCCCTCTTTCGACCATGTAGCGCAGCTGATTCTCATCAAGCTGAGCCACTGTGTTGCCAGACCTTGGATTTGCTTAAGGAACCTGGAACAAAATGCAAACATATATTCACAAGGTTTAGGGGTGTTAACCAGATCGGGAACACAAGAAAACAACACTCTCATAATGACTCTCATATGAAAAAATATCACAGGTGGTCTGCCAAAACCAGGAGACACACTGAGCACCTGCATGGGTTTTCAACGCTCCCAACAGGCCACGCAGCTGAGCCGAAAGCGACTGACGGGGTCAGTGGTGAGTGGAACACCTTCCAGTCTGACACCTTCCGGTCGGTGAACCGAAGGAACCTCCATCTGTTGTGGGGTGGTGTCCCACCTTCCTCCCCCCAAAAAGGGGTTAGCAATTGATCCACGTACTTCCTGGGTAGGTCAAGGCTCGGCAAAAAGAGGCGATGATGCTTTTCAGGGATATGACGAACACAACAGCAGCAAGCACTGAGAGACAGGGCCAACCATCTTGCGGAGAGCACTCCGGGGCAAATCAAAGACAAAAATATACAAAAATAAGAGTTCATCTAATGATCGTGGTCCTTCAAAGTGACCTTTTGATCACCTGGTTGGTTCGGTCACGTGACGCCTCCCTGTTGGGTCCCCTATAAGGAACCTTCACAAGGTCACGAACTGAAGGTCAGCTGGATGGGAATTCATCAGTCATCACCCCCTGGCCCACGGAGTATGCGTGGTTGGCAATGATCATGGTCGGCCTCCCTTCCTTGCACAATACCTGGAGGAACCAACAAGAAGTAGGAAGCCCTGCCCCATGGGAGGACTGCCATGCATAGATGCCGCCCCATTGACCCCCATGGCACCATACCACCCCTTGCCTGATCGGCAGTCCTATGGCAGTCCCAGACAGGTCGTGTCTGGGATGTATTGATTTGGTCCAGTCCTCGAACATCATGACGACTCTGGAGCCAAGCTGTAACGATCATACAACATGGAATTGGTGCGGAGTGCCATTGAACTCACATTCGCTCACTTTGAGTAGCTTTCGCCGGAATATGCTGTTGAATATCAGCTGAATAGGGGACCATCCAATGACAACTCCGCATTCAACCAAACACCCCAGCTGCTGGTGATGCCACGCCGGCCGTTCGCGAGCCGCGCTCCGATCCCACTCCCGGTCCAGGTAGGTCCAATACCGCCGGAGGAGGTACCCTACAAAATCCATGGGGCAGTATATATGACCTATATATTCACCACCAACAACTCCCAGTCATGTAGGAGAAAAGATTGCTGACATCTGGAGCCACATCTCACCCTGCAGCGTGCGCCCAGTTCACCCAGGGCACACTGCAAGAAAAACTCATCGCGCTCCTTGAGGCTCTTCGAGGCCATCTTCGCATGCAGAACCTCGCGGAGGGTATTCCACTGTGACTGGTTCTCCTGGCTGATCAGTTGGGGTGGTTGAAACGGGGTCAATGTAAAATTTATACACATTAAAACATGTTGTGAACTTGCATTATCTATAGTAGATCAATATATATATATATATACAAACTTATAGATATCACCCTAGCCTTCCAAGACCTTTAAAGGAAAAGGTTGGCCTGGTGTTGTAGTGCAAATTCCTTAGTAAAAGAATGGTTGTTCGATAAATACACTCCCGAGGGCTCCAAGCACCTCTAAGAAGGTGTTTGGGGTGGGTTTGGAGGGTCCAAATACTTTCTGAGGAGGTACTTGGAGCCCTAGGGACTAAATCAATGCTTGTTAACAACCTATAGGATCCTATAGGCATGATTTTATATTCTACTACAAGCATTAAGCGTGTCAATGTCACTGCCCCATCGACCAAAAAAGGCGCGCAGTCCGACCACGGCCGGTGGAGCCACCACGGCGGGTCTGGACCTCACTGCGGACGTCCCGGTGGTCGCCGCCTTCTTCGCCTCCCGCAGTTCGGGAGGAGCAAAGCATTGGTCCACTTGCTGGGTCAGCTTGGCCGTATGGTAATACCTCAGCGAGCGCGAGGTCTGCGAGCGCCAGTGCGAACGCACACTCCCGCGCGGTTGGCGAGGGAGAGGTTGGCGAGGGAGAGGGGAGAGCGGAGCGCAGATGTGTGGATGGAATTCGCATGGGGTGTTCTCCGAAAAGCGGCTTGGCCGCCAGTGGAAGAGGTGTAAGCATCGGGGGGGCTCAGTGGAGGTCACTTTGGATCCAAATGATTCCATCGCGGTGGTCTGTAGCCCCAAAACCCGGGTAGAGAAGGGAAACCAGGCAGATCGACCGGGAACCGGTCCCCAAAAGGTACCACCCACCGTTGGAGGTGTTACTCATATCTATGCCCTTGTGACTATTAGCGTCCATACAGTGGTTTCAGAGTAGATGGCACAAACCCCCATACATGTCCTTTAGATGGGGGTTCATAATATAAACAACCTTTTGGGGATTGTGCCATCTACTCTGAACCCACTGCAAATTGCCTGGTAAAGAGGTGATTCTAAAAACCACCGAACTTAAAAGGTCCTGGTATATAGAGACATCATGGCACTCCGTGGGCGATACCACCCCCCTGCGTCAACACGGACCACATGGAACCCTGAGACGAAGAATTGGCCCGTGGTGGAAGACCCTTTTCCGACGAGCCACCCAGTGGTTTTGGTGGTCCATGTTGATCTGCGGGGTATAACAGAACCCCGTCACCATGGGAAAGCCCTATCACTAAAGAGTTCGCATCATCGCTTGCTAATCCTTGCGTTGCTTCTCTTGCCCTCGAGTGGCCAGGGGCTGGGGCAAGCGCCGCTCCGTGCGGGCAATGCTCGGAAACGGGCCCCGCAACAGAAAACGACACAAAAAGAACAACCACTTCCCAAAAGAACGCTCATCAAGGTACCACCCGGAGAAGCGTGCCAAGCACTTGCAATGCGCGTAGTACATCTCCTCTGCAGTTTTGCCCAAGGCCCAATCGCGATACCTCGTCAACGCTTTCATAGCCCAAACACTCCATGGGACTGCCATATATGCCGATCAATTGGGGTGGTGCCAGGGGGGTCAATGTAGGAATATATGGCCGTCCCATGGAGTGTCTGGGTAGGTGAGGTGCTTTTTTGAGTGGTCTTCCGATGGATCTTTTGCCGTGGAATCATCATCAAACAGATTTGCTGTCCTTTGACTGGGTCTATATAACGATGGCTCCATATACATACCAACCAGAGGTGAAGTGACCTTCAAAGACCCTACATGTAGGTACCTATATAATGGGATAGTGCTATAAGATGTTCTGTTGGCAGGTACCGAACTAGTTCAGGTACGAACACGGATCCGGTACGTGGATCATTCAACCCCCCCCCAGACACGACACGACATCCGGCGCCAACGAGCTCGATCAACTCAGTTCCCAGACACGACGAGGCGTTTGGGACTGCCATGACGGACGGCCAGTCCGTGGCACGGCCGTTCGGGGTGGTTGTTTTGGGGGGTCTGGCTTGATCGGCATATATTCCAGTTGCATGGAGCCCTCTGGAAGTGATGTATCTGGAACCCGTAACTTGACATCGGTGACCTGAAAGGACAAGTGACACATGTTTTGGGTGGTGGGCGGTCCAAAATTGAGGTCATGACCAGGTTCTAGGTATATACATCAAAGTCCGGACGGATCCCAGGATCCCACTGGACTGTCCAGGCGTCTTTCCCGCGGGTGGCAAGAAATCGCCGACGGCCAGTGGCTTATCCCAGTCGCTTCCTGGGCGAGTGGTGCCAAGGTGTGGGCCGCTAGTGCAGCTACTCCTCTCGCTCTTGAAGGAGAAGACCTACTCAAACACGCGTTCTAGTGAAATCAATGCAATATGAGATTTAGAACCCTGATGTACATCATGGATACATTTGAGGCGGGGTGAAGCATATGCAACACACACACACACCAAGATTTCATGAATCTGTGGTGGTGTAAGCCCAAACACTCCATGTATGCCATATATGCCTACATTGACCCCCCTGGCACCACCCCAATTGATCGGCATACATGGCAGTCCCATGGAGTGTCTGGGAAGATTTCATCAAGTCGTTGTGATTTCTTCCGCAAACATAGGCAGCCACCAGAATCCGCAAACATCCGACTGGAAGAACACCCAGGTTGGCGGCTCCTCTCTCCATCACCCCGCTTGGCGGTTTCACTGCTTGGTTGGCATGGCTCAACCCTCAAAAGAGAAACAACCAAGCAGATTGGTGGGCAAATTATCCCAGGAAAGGTCAGACGATTAGAGATCAACAAACCAGGACCCTCCAAGGGGTGTCCAATGAACTACCCCACACTACCTATAGGCTTCCATTGGGCACCCCTTGGAGGGTCCTGGAACAGATAGAACTCTTTAAAGCCACTAAGTTGTCTCTCGCTCTCCTTCTCTTTCGTTCGAGAACGATCTTATTCAGCTTCAAAAAGTGCTCTTCTCCTTGTTCAAGATATGGCCTCTGGGACCCTGAGTGAATAGATGATAGATTGGGTGTATCCGATGTATCTCATTCCCTGTAACGGTGGATTTTCCGCTTAGTTAGTAAAGGCCTTTCTCAAAAGTAGTGCTTGATACTGTAATTCCGAATCATGGATCATTTATTGACAGTTACCCTCCCTCTGTCACAATCATGGTTACGCTGCACAAGGCCTCACTTGTAGAGGAAAATAGTCTTCCAGGGGCCTACTCCCTCTGCAGATTGACATGGAACCCCAAAACCACTGGGTTGTAGAGGAAAATGGTCTTCCACAGGTCAATTCTCAGGTTCTATGTTAGTTTGCCGGGGAGTATGTTCCAAGGGTTTGTGCAGTTTCGTTCGGTCATTGAATTGCATGAAGCATCCTTCAAGGACCGATGGAGCCATGGGCCCTTGGGCCATCCGGCACCCGACACAGGGCTCATCACCCACCATAGCCAGAGCGGACTGCCATAGCCAGTACCGATCACTTGGGTTGGTGCCAGGAGGGGTCTTTCTGAGGCGGCACACGCGGCATGGAGTGCTAGGGGTATGATCCCTAGGGCTCCTGGCCCATATCCTCAGGTGGTTAGACCCCCCTGGCACCCACCCCTGTCCCATCTTCGAAACGGAGGTGGGCCAGGAGCCCAAACGGGGATATGATGCTTCATTCACCTCCCTTCCATCACTCGGTCACCAGATACCACATCGCCGTCCGTCCACGGCTGGGCCACGGCTCCGTAGGGGATCCGCTCCATGACCCAAATGAAGTTGGTGGTCCTTCCTCGGCGAGGAATCGCTTTGGCTTAAGGACCAGACTGGACCAAACAGAAACACACCATACCCCCTAGAAGTCCAAAGACTATATTTTGACTGTTTGAAGTAAAGGAAGTTCCCTTTCAGGTCCCCTAGTCAGACCATTCTTTTTATAGTCTTTGACTACCAGGGTACCAGCAGTCACAGAGCTTCCGGTGCCGGTTCCGAACCGTTCGGAAGGAGGTGCCCGATGCCCCTGTCACAGCCCCTGGATGGGCCGAGGTCTAGACCACCCCACTCCAATGTGACTCCTGGACTTCCATATTATGATCTTCCCCAGTTTCAACGCAAAGCAACGATCACCTGATCAGCCAAACCCGAAACGAACTGAGAACGCCCCAGCCCCCCACTCCACCCCCGCCCCCACCTAGCATCGATCCCAGCACCGGGAATGGCATGAATTGATCTGTTGGGGTTCTTACAACCCTAGGCTTCCGTTCGACCATTCAAAGAGTTCGGTTAACCTGGTTGCATAGTGTAAAATCCATACTGCCATAGTAAAACAGCTGGTGGTTCGGGAGTCAGGCCATTAAAACAATGGTCGGCCAGGAAGCCTAGGGACAAGGGGGTCAATGGTCCAGAACTTAGCTCTGGGCTTGGTCGACGAGCACTCCATCTTCGTCCCAAGAACCATGTCTCATGGGAGGGAACAATAGGCGCCCCGTCTCATTGGTGACTGGGAACAGAATGGAACAAGTTAGGTTTACCAAGCGAACTTCGTCTGTTCATATGTTTGCGAGGTAAAACACCAATCCCTCACTACCAGGTGACCTGCAGGTGAGGAAAAACGTACGAAACCTGGGTATATAGTGATTGGCATGTGAAGGTTGGTGGGTCTTTCACCCCCTACCAACCCTTTTCAGCGTCGTTGTGATGTTCCTTGATGAGATCGATCTCTGGATGAACAAATCCGTCATTTCGGTGCGCTGAGAAGGGTATAGTGGTGAGATGTGGCCTGATGTAGTTGGTTGTTCAATCACATGCTACACTCCCTCGAATAATCATGGAAGTGGATGGCCACTTGGATGACTATAGTTCCTCTACAAACAGGTGCTGCCATCTACTTCAATGAAGATTTCAGGGAGTGTGCTGTATCACGTTTCATTCCGAGCGCTGTTCCGAGCGCTGTCCCAGCGGATTCCTGAAGAGGGGATGTTGTGATCGCTGGGCTCAGTTGACCCGTGGAGTTTGGGAGCTACTGGTGTCATGTGCCTTGGGCCTGTGCACGACGGCTTTGTGATGAAAATGGTCGGGGAGTCGGCAATTCTCGCGTCGAGGAACACATCCAAGCACCCAAATCCACTCCCAACAAATATCTCGACAAAGGGCCTCGAAAGGTATGTCTGTATTCAGGGCCCTTTGTTATAGCTTTTGAAGTATGCTCACTTATATCACATCCGGCTTGGAACATGAACTTCGTGCGGAAACTGCAGCTATACGGGTACGGAATTTCCGGTCCTTCCTTTGCTGCCGAAGCCGGGAACAAACATCCTGAGGGATTTCACCCATTTGGGAAAACCATCACCGGCAAATGAGGACAACACAAGAAGGTATGCCCCAGGATTCCAACAACCATTGATTATAACTAACGTGATATTTACCAAAGACTGTGACTTTGCACTACATCAAAAGAATTGCACCTCTTTACTAACCTCACCCTCAAATCCCTAAATCAACTGCAGCTGACCCCTCATCAACTGCAAAACCTGATGCAGCTCGTTCCTATTCTGGTCCAACTGAAAGCGCTGGTCGAGTCTGTGGCGCTGGTGGCGGCTCGACAGGTGGATACAACCACCCGCACCGGCCTATAAACCCCTATACATGTTGGGTCTATCCGAATACCTAGGCCTCAGGGGATGATGATGAATTAGTAGAGCCCTGGTTCAAAGAAGTAGTACTGTTTACCCTAGGATTCAAACAACCATTGTTTTAATGGCCTTTACCAAAGAACCATTGTTTTAATAAGGATTTTTACACTACACCACCAGCTCAACCGTTCGAACTTAGTGGTCAAACTGAAGGCTATAGCGGCTATAGGGTTTACTGACTGTTACAGGATGTTACAGGTAATAGGACAAACCCAACCTATACCACAGGTCCTAGGTCCTGAGAGTCGAATTACTGGAGTTGCTGGACGTCACCCGACCACCCCTCGTACCGAACCGAAGCGTTTCGGTAGGACTGGACCTGGCACCCTGGTCGTCCCAGCGAACCAAACGGATGACTCATGTCGCTGAAGTGCCTCCAAATGACGGTTCATGTCGCTGAAGTAGATCCGTGGCGTTTTGATCGGCAGCTTCCCGCTGAGCATGTTGTAGAACATCGTCTCTGCCCAGTCACCGTTCAGAGTCACCTAGGTGGAACACAACGGGCGCGCATCCGCATAGTGCGAAAGTCACCTCTAAACACCTGCCCCGAAAAAACACCAACAGAGGTTAAGTGACCGTAAATAGGACCTTACTGGGGTACCGAACTGGGATAGTCTATAGGGTTCGTCAACCTCTGTTGACATACAGTACCCCCCAAAAAAAAAACGTGAAAACCAAGAAAAGCCACCAATGCCACGGTAACATCCTCCACGCACACCGCCTCGAACGAGGCGAGGTTCGCGCGCATCTCCTTGTTTCTTCGAGCATGTTTGCACCGAGAGGCCGAGACCTTGAAGCGTTCGTTCTTTCCGGTGAACTCGTGCGGCATCTTCACGAACATCTCCTTGGGCGCGTGCTGTTCCGTGCGGTTCCGTGCTGTTCCGTGCGCACCGAACCAGGGTGGCTCGAGAGTCATCGATCGGTGCTTTGGGTGAGGCAGCTCGGGTGAATAGACACAAACACCCCAGACCATCCCAGATCCCAGGAGTGACCCTGGTCCAGGAGTGACCCTGGTTTCAGGAGTAAATGGCACAAACCCGAAGATGTCTTTAGGATGGGGATTGTGCCATCTAAATATTCTGAAAGCGCTGTAGATGTCTTGGACTCCCAGGGTATGGGACTGGAAGAGTTATTTCTTCACCATGGAGTGACATGTCGGGGTGGTGTTTTTTAGTCCCATCCTGAGTGGACGTGACAGGAGCACCTGGTCCCTCCGTCCTCGATGGACACCCCTAAGCCCCCTGTGGAACTGTGTTCGCACACTCCCGTTTTGGGCTCCACCTCCGTTTCGGTTCGGTGGGACTGGGGTGGGTGCAAGGGGGGTCGGTGGTATTCTGGTGACCTGAGGATCAGGTACTTGGAGGTCTATACAAGGGAAAAACACCCTTCACGATTCATGAGCAAAAGAAACGCGATGATGCTGCTACTGGCCAAAACATATCCTCCACCACCAGGCGGGGGGGATGCGCGGGGGAGTTGCAGGGCTGCAGCATGCCCCTGCCCTTCTTCGGCCATCTCTCGTTGCCAAGGCCATCAGTCGTTAGCGCGCGGCCGATCACGTAAGTTGCATGTTGCAGTCACGACATGGTTGGCCAAAGCAAAACATGCAAAAACTGCACCAAGGGTGAAGACTGGAGGCTGCATCATTCGATCTACCCCTCCAACCACATCCTCTCTCCCTGGAAACTGCCCCAGAAACTGGCAGGAACTGATTTCGTTGTGCTCATTCAATGCAAAAATAGAACTTAGGATCCCCTTCCCCTCTTCCATCCTCTTCCCACTTCAACAGCCCCACCATTCCCGCCAGCACGCCAGCGGTTCCGCCCACTCCCTCTCGACATCTGACGTCGTTCCGCTCTCAAGTGACCTTCTCCCTGTGACATCGTTCGCCGCCCCGCGGGTCACGCGCGCACCGAGGTGCCGTGCTGGGTTCGTCGCCCTGCGGCGGACGTTGATATTCCACGCCCAGCAGAATCTTCACGGCAGCACCGCCCCAGCTGGAGTCCTAGACGACCCGACGACGGACGGGGGCGAGACGGGGGGCGGGAGGACTGGCCGATGGAGCGACCTGGGCCACGTGGGCATACCTGGAACCCGTTTTTGGACGGTCTGTTTATAGGAAGGCCTGATCTTTTTGAGTGGTTGCTGGTCCAAAATTCGAGGTCATGACCAGGTTCTAGTAGCCAGATCATGTCAACTCTCGCCGAACTGAGCGCTGTCTCGCTGGTGTCGAACTCGGAAGGACGGGAACTATGGGAGACTTGGACTGCTGAGGTGGAACATAGGACCCGAATGACCTGGGGTAGTTGAACCCTAGGCTTCCGTTCGACCATTCAAAGAAAGGTTAACCTGGTTGCGTAGTGTAAAATCCTTAGTAAAACAGCTGGTGGTTCGGTAAAGGCCATTAAAACAATGGTTGTTGGAAGCCTAGGGTGAACTGGGAGAGCCGAAGTAGGCCGGGTTCTTCGGCGTGAGGTGGTAGAACGAACATCGGCGTCGAAATGCGTGCACTGGACGTCCGATCGCGCGACGTTTTTGAAGCCGTTTGGCCTCCAGTCATACCTTCGTTTCGGTGGGACTGGGGTGGGTGGCAGGGTCAGGTCCAGTCATACCGAACCTGAGCAAGTACGACTGGAGGTGTAGGGAATTGAAAACGGTCCACTGTTGATGAACAAATATATACCCATCTATTATAGGGTCTTCATGCAACTACGTCCGTTTGTTTCGGTGCCGTGAGGGACTTTCAGAGGGGGCGAACTAACCGCTTTGGTTTCGGATGTGGTTGGAACTCCCAAGTCTGGTGGTTTCAACTCAAAAACCTCAGACGCTGACATGGGATCCATCATCCAGGTTGAACAAGGTTGAACTCACATACCAAGGAGTATGAAGACAAACCACCACGAAACGGACTCTTGCTTGTTTTTTTTCCCCAACCTCGGAACAAGTGGGACACAGAGGTCACTGAGAAAAGGTGATAGTTGTTTTAAATAGAGCAGCTCGACCCAGCTCACTGTGTTAAAACCCTCTTAGTTAGGTTCAAAGGTCACCCAGATTCCGGTTCCAAGTTAACCCATCCTGAACCACTGACAGGTGGTCTCTGACCGATCCCCTCCGTACTACACTCCTGGCTTCGTGCAGTGGTGTGAGGAACAACCAGTCCCGACCAGTCCTCCGGGCGTCATATTTTTCACGTGATGTGGACTCTTGATTAGTAACCCCTCATATGAAGAGGATGTCCAATTCGAAGGGAGGGGTTAACTCATCAATCAAGAGTCAAGAGTCTTATTAAATCACCATGATGCTTTTAGATCTTTTAAAACCAATACTTAAGGATGCAAAAGCCCAGGTTCTGATGGGTGAAACTGGCCTTGTATTGGGATGATTCTTTCAAGGAGTGCACCTCCTCAACAAAAAGTCCCTCAACTCCGCCCGCCGCAACTCGCCCATCCTCCGTGGCGGTCTTCTCCGTGGTGGCCGCCGCTTTGGTCTCGAACTGGGTGAACTTCACCTTGCGAGATCGCGGCGGCGCGAGCTGAAGCGGAAGGGTTGGAAGAGCTGAGCGGGGTCACCGGTCACCATACAAGGTGTTGATTAGGAGAGTGTGGGTTGTGGATGTGGCAGCTGCAACGCTGAGCGAAAAACACATGCATGGCTATAATTACCGGTGGTCAGACCGGATTTCAAGTGTCAAACAGGCTGACAATTGCTCTGCTAGCTGTGTTTATAGTGCATGAACTAACATGCTCTCCCTACATCAGAGACACTGGTCGAAAACTGGCCGATTGGCCGCGTGGGATGCCGGGAGCCGGCGAAGCGACGGCGCCCGAGCCCGAGGCTTCCGCGAGCGCAGCGTGCGGCCCGCCTCTTCCCGGTCTGATATCACATATAGCAGACATATGCCCGGCAGATTTCCGGTCTGATCCTGTCTTTTCATCATTCCATCTTCTGAGAGAGTTCACCCCAAAAGAAAAGCAACCAAATACTGGACCAACTCCATTCCCTCCTCCCTCCTCCCAGCTCCCAGCTCGGCGCGAGACACGATGCGGTTGTCCTCAGGCAAGGTCTTAGCACGGTGGAGGGCCTTCGTCAGCCAATCCGGGCCCATCTCTTCCTGAGCGCACCGATCTGGGACCTACGAGGCGCGGGCGATCTGAAGAGGTCCAGCCAAGGACAGCGATCTGATCTGAGGGAAAGGTGGGTTGAAAGGTTTGCATCCTAATTACGTTGTTTCCCTTCCACGCCCTCAAAGAAGAAGCAATGAAGAGCATGTATATGATTAATGTGTGGTATATATTCTAGTCACCGAGAGATCATCAAACATCTAAGATATCTATAGGTTTGCCTGCGAGTCCTGAACAGGGGCACAAATAAACGGCATTGACAACTATATGATTTGGATTTGTTGATCCCACAACCTTTCTACGGTTTTCACATGTTTTCACGCTCCATTGAAGTCATCCATGACTCTCCTCCTTTCACGCTCCCTTGCAGGAAAAAGAATACCATCCCACTGTATCCCACTAAGCCCCCTTTCCTCCTAAACCTCCTTCTGGACGAAGTAAACTCGCCCCAAGGCACCAGTTGCTTGGGCGTCAAGGGCATCTCCAAGCCCCAGAACTCCCCAGGTGCCTGCTCATGGACCACCTGCAGCGGCGGCGAAACCGGTGCCGTAGTAGAAAGACGGTGGTCACGCGAAACCGCTGGCCGTCTGAAGTGCTGCAGGTCGCAGCGGCAGCGGCGGAAATCAAAGCAAAAGGCATATGGCCAAAACAACACGAGCTCAAACTAGGAATGTTACATGATGAACAAAGGTCCAGCTTTGGTTGTTACAGGATGTTGCTCTGAATTGTGTCGGTGGTACAAAGATCACTCACACAACCCAGCTGCGAAACAACAACGTTTCGCTCCTTGGACAAGCTGCAAATCCATGAGCCACAAGAAGCATCTGTCAATCTATTGAGCTTCAATCAACTGCTGACTCGACATACCAAATAATGTTATATACAAAATTAACTTGGTAATGAACATTGGTATGTTACAGTATCTAAATTCTTTCCACCACCCTTCGGGAACACCCCCCTCACCTTCTTGAATGAGCTCAAGTTCAAAGGCCGCCCACCATCCCCGAAGCGCGGGAAGCTCGGCCAGTCGGCAGCGCTCAAGGGACTCCAGGTGGCCCAACGTTCCCTCCTACCCGCCGAACCCGCGCGATTGCTGCTGACACAGCGATGACGCCGCGCGTGCGTGGGGAAGAGGGGAGATCCAAGTGTGTTCATGTTTGTGGTGGAACCGCAATGTGCGAAGCTCAGCGGATGGGGAAAAAATGTGGTGTCAGCGTGGGTGTAGCCGGTGGTGGTTTCAAGCGATTTCAGAACACACGCCAGGGCCATGACGTGGAAAGCGGTGGAGACGGGTTCATCGGAAGTGTGAATTGGAGACCTTGGTGGAATATACTCCCCCCACAAACTAACATAGAACCTGAGAATTGACCTGTGGTTTCGACCATTTTCCGAATACCAACCCAGCAGTTTGGCGGGTTCCATGTGGTCCTTGTCCAGGAGCCTGCAGTCACCACCCGACAGTGCTCTTCCAGTCTGCGAGAGTCCGACCCTGAATGAGAGACCCGCGGAAGACCCGGTTCATTGAGTCCATGTGAAAGAATCCACGGGAGAGCCTTCTTTAGAGGATGCAGGATGCACATGACTTGGACCAACACAGACCTGCCAATGACCTGCTGACCTGCCACATGTTGGAGTCTCCTGGCTGCATCATCAGCAGTGTCTTGCAAGGTTTTTTCTTCCTTCTCCTGGCCACTGCAAGCAAACATCAAGATTCCAACTGCGTGGATATCGTGGATATCGTGGATATCCAATTGCATCCACCCGATTAGATTTCAAAAAAAAGTTAATCAAATATACGTATATTTATGTGTTTGAAGAATCAGGTGCTTGGGTCAATGAATAAATCTTTTGTCACAACTGAGCTTCTTTGTTGTTGAAGCCTGCTGTTGCTTTCGCCGATTGCATCTGCCTGCCTGGTCGTCTTGAAACACCATATATTTCAGTGTGCCGACGCCAAAAGGGATACACTGTCCCTACACCTCCTCAGAAGGTATGACTGGACCATCCTGACAACCCACCCCAGTCCCACCTTCGAAACGAAGGTACGAATGGAGGCCTAGGGTATGTACATCATAATCATCATACTTGTTGCATTCCAGCCTAACCCACCCACCTTCAACCACCATCCTTGAACCCCACCTTTGCCGCATCGCCGTTGGCAGCGCCGTTGGCAGCGCCATTGACAGCGCCGTTGACAGCGCCGTTGGACGCTTCGCGCAACTCCACGGCTAAGGGCTTGCCCTGCAACGTCACGCTGACCCAGCCCTCTGATGGACCTCGGAGGCTTGAAGGAAGCAAAACGGGAAGTCACACGTCTGCTCGAGAAGGTGTGGAACCAACAGAGGTATCTATAATGACCTGAAAAAGGAACGTACCGAACTGGGAATATATGGTCCAAAAGGATCCAAAAGGGTTCTTCAAGCTCTGTTGGAAGCTTCGAAGCTATATTGATTCATGGCCGAGAGGAGCTCCATCTCAGGAAGTCTATAGATATCATGGAGTTTAGGTGGTTTATAGATTTTTGGATGGTTTAGGTGATTTAGGATGTATAGTAGGATGTCAGACGACACCACATGACGAGGTCTTTTTCTCTTCGTCTTCAGCACCCGAACTCTGTGTGTGCTTCTGGCCGTAGCCTCAGGTGGTGGCCAGGGGCACCGACCGGATCGGCTGCGGCTCGGCCGTGACTGGGTGTTCTGCCCCACCTTCATGGGCCTTTGTCTCTCCACACCTGGGTGTCTCCACGCAGCAGTGTAGGGTCCAATGTCCAGCCAGGTTCGGAGGTCGAAAGGACTCGAACATCTAAATGTCACTGAACCCCCGCGCCCCTCTGGACTCCGTGCGGGGAGTGCACCCAGCCCAGCCGAGCGATCAGGGCCTTCGTTGGTTCCGCGCCTTCACCCGAGACGAGCTGATACTGCAAACGGTCTCCCTTCAACTTCAGCTGCTCCACCACTGCGCCAGTGCCAAGTCCTAGAGCTGTCCATCCAGTCCATCACTGCAGTTGACTTGCACCCTCCAAATGTTCCATAATCTCTACGGGTCCAGTCTGACCAGTAAAACCTGGTCCTGAATACCTCATTGAGTAGGTGCGTAAAAATGACCAACTCCAGCAAAATGAGGTCTTCGACCTTTAGGGAATATGTATATGGAATTATATGGAACTGTATATGGAATCTATGCTAACAACTATGCTAGAGCCCAGGTCAACCACCCCTGGCCTCATCGGCCAATATTATTGCGCTTTCCGCCGACATCACCAGCACCATTGGCACATCTGACAAGCCTTTTGACACCCGGACCAGCAACCGGCAAGTTCCTCAACTTAAATCCATTCCGTGACCAAGGACATTCTGCAAAAGCCCTTGGACACAGCACTTCGAATTCGACGCTGTTGACTCTGCAGTACGGCAAACACCCCACGGCGTCAGCCCCGAAAGTGGGTGTGGGACACGGTGTCCCTGGGCATCTTCGTGCAAAACTCGATGTCAACGAATTGCTGTCCACCAAGAGAGGTTGAAGAACCCTAGTTCGGCTATCCCAGTTCGGTACCCCAGTAGGGTCCTATTTACGGTCACTTGACCTCTCTTGGTAGGAGCCCTAGAAAGAATACAAGTTCACATCTTCGGAAGGGGAATTCAGGGAACGCCCACCCATAGAGAACATACAAATCACCAGCAAAACCGGGATTAGACACCATGTTTGGAGGTTTGGGGCTGCCCCTTCTTCAGCCCATTCTTCAGCCGTCGCCCGAGCCAGGCTTCGACCTGTCTGCTCGGATTTCGTGCTCCTGGGCGCGCAGGAGGGTGGGACTGGCATATATGTCAACATTGAACCCAGGTCAACCCCTGGCCTCATCGGCGGGAGTCTCAAACAGGTGGTGTCTGGGTTGGATGTTTTAAGAGTTCCTTCCGTTGTTCTACAACTTGAAGGAAGCCGCACCCCTGACCAATGTCAAAGGGTCACTTTGAAGAACCAGCCAGGCATGAAATGATCTGAACCAGCTAGGTGCTGGGTTCCCACCCCTCCTTGCCAAAGCAAGACAGACTCCAGCTAGCTAGCTAACAGCTACCTAGAGAGGTTGAACAGCCTTAATTATAGCCCATCCCATATGTACCACTACAGGGTCCTATATGGTCTCTCAACCTCTCTTGGTAGCTTTCGTGACTTTTGATGCTCCCTTTCACCAAGGCACTCCCCGTCTCGCACCAGAATGCCTCCCGTGGTGCCACCGCCAATGATGCTCCAGCGAACGACGGGCGGCATGGCAAGAGACACGGAGGGCCAAGCCTTTCGAACAAGATCGAATCGTGGAGTTGCGGTTTTCAGTTTCTGTCTACAAAGACTTCAAAGAACCCAAGACTTCAAAGACTTCCTTAAGTGAACGACGAGGGCTCAAGAAGAGACGAGTCGTTTGGTACCTCGTGCTCTTTATTAAATGCTTGGCCATGTGGCCATGTTTACAACATGAAGCAGGCATACTGGCATCCTGGGCTCCGAAGCCCATGTCAAAACATGTTTTTTGCAACGTTCATCTCTCAGCCAGCGATGATTCCATTCATCTTGGTTTGCAGGCATGAGTTTGTTGGGATCGTGCCTGGCCATGTCTGTGGCATAATGCTGTGAGCCGAACTCCCCCGCCAACAAAACATGGAAGGTTGACATCCTTTTTTTCAAGGGATCGGTGAAGGGGGCGGGGTCAACGATGGGCAAGATTTGACCATCTTTCAGAAGATGTGTGATGTATTTGCATTGCGAAGAAAGAAAGGTTCAACAAGATGGCCAAGGACAAAAGAATCGAAACGGCCACACACTGACACCGTCCGATCCCCACACACTTGAATTTCGGCCGGTGCCTTATGACGTCGAAACACCAACCGGAAACAATTAGTTCTTCCAATTACTTGAGATCCTTTACAATAGGAAGTGGCTTTTAAGGGAGAGATCCATGTCATTTATTTATCTGTGTGATTCTTTGTGTGCGTTTCCAGGATGGTCATACACTCCTGGCAACTTAGTCTTACATCCTCGAGCTAGACATGTCTGTGATTGCAGGGCGCCTTATGACTTGCCAACTTGCCAATAAGTTTCCTCGGGCTTCCTTCGATTCAGTCTGCTAGTCTGTCCATGGAATCAAAACGTGATCAAACATCCTTCACAAGCACGCACACACACACAGCTCTGAGAAAGCCGACTGCACTGTGGCCCGAGGCAGATTCTAACCTCGGCGCCCCAAACACATCCGGGGATCGAGTGGACGTCATGTGTTTTCATTGCAACGGTGATTGATGGTCAACAGGCTTGGCACCCCAAGAGGTCTTTTGAAGGGGGGGTCATATATACCACCGACATTCGGGATTGTGCCATCTACTCTCAGTCCACTCTAAATGGACCTCTTCTATGCTTTCCAATGCAGCCCATGTGCTCAACACATACAACTTTAATTCATTTAAATACCTCCTACCTCACCGGTATCAAAAGGGCTCTGACCAAGTCAGTCTTGGTATGGGGAAGTTAGGAAAGGGCCAAGAGTTAAGCTTGAGTTGTTGGTGCAGAAACAGGTGACAACGGCGTTTTTGGGGCTGATTGAGTCCTACTTACTCCCTCTAAGTGTTTCCAAGCAAGCACACATGTTTCCCCGGCTTTTGGCCAACTGATCACGCTGGGACCTTCGCTGGTCAACAAAGTGCAGTTGAGGTACCAAAACCACACCTGTCCTGGATGCTGGGTGTAGACGCCCCATAGTCTGGTACCAAAACCACGCCCCATAGACGCTCCATAGGGGGCATTCCTGTGTGCCCCTGACGAAACCTGCAGCGAATGATGCTGGTTGATCAGGGCCTCCACTGAGCGCCCCAACCACAAACATGTCATGACCCCAATGGACAGTTGCTTGTAAACCTGACTCTTCAAACCTCTAGACTCTAAGCTGAGAAAACAGACTTAAAAAAAAAGAGTTAAAGGTTGCCCACTGAAGGGAGGGTAAGCCAAGAAGGAACTGCGCAGTGTTGACCGCTCACACCTCACAGCCTTTCCAGGCGGCTGCGGGGTGCCAAGCACTGCTGGAGTTGTGCACTCATTCTAACTCCTCCTGCACCAGGCCAGGCTCGCGACAATCACCCATGAGGCCACTACAGTTCTTTGGCTTCAGTGAAGAAACCAAAAACTTGTGCTTTCAACCCACCCAAGAAACATATTGAGTCAGAGGGTCCAATCATCCCCAAGTGGTTGGGTTGAAAAACAATGTCCGAAACCATCATCTAGAAAAACCATTGATTTTCAGCGCGCTTCCGAAGTAGCAAAGTTGCAGAGACACCGGCCCCTCCAGTTTCCACCAAGACACCACTGCAAATCGGAAGGAACCTAGTCGAAATTGCGGTCGACTGTCTTGCGGGGACTGCTAAAACAAGTACTAAGTACTTCAACAATACTTCAACAAATCTCGGGCAGGTCTTACCTTAGCTAAGTTGATGGCAGCTGAGTACCAAAAAGGGATGACAGCCCCAAAGCCACACCAAACTCCAATGCATTTTTCCATCACCGATTGTGAAACAAAAGGGTGTGAATAATTAGACCAATTCTGCACAAACATCTGCAACCCTACTGATCCATCATGGTTTATGATCGAGTTGGGAGCACCTGTCTCTCTCTCTCTCACCCTCCATTGGATCATTATTCAATCGGTTAGAGCCGGATTCGGAAACTAATCGGTCGGATTCTGAAACTAGGGTTCTGAAACTGGGGTTCTGAAACTAGGGTTCTGAAACTTGGATTCTGAAACTGGTATTCTGAAACCGGGGTTCTGAAACTAGGATTCTGAAACTGGGGTTCTGAAACTAGGATTCTGAAACTGGGATTCTGAAACTAGGATTCTGAAACTGGAAAGTCAGATTCTGCAACTGGTATTCTGAAACTGGAAAGTCAGATTCTGCAACTTGCCTTCTGAAACTTGCAACTGGTGATCTCCACATCACGCGATAGCGTGTGTGCCTGTGACATCACCTTCGAAGCACATCCAAACCAACGTCATTAGCCCCCCACCCAACCCCCCCACCCCCCAACCCCCCCTTGTCCCCATCGTGTGATCTCGACATCCCTCATCATTCACAAAGTTGCGGAATCCTAGTGAGGGAGTCCACAATGTTGCGGAATCCTAGTTGCGGAACGCCAGTTGCGGAATCCCAGTTGCAGAATCCTAGTTGCGGAATCCTAGTTGCGGAATCTTGACAGTTGCGGAATCCTAGTTTCGGAATCCTAGTTGCGGAATCCTAGTTGCGGAAATCTAGTTGCGGAATCCTAGTTGCGGAATCCTAGTTTCGGAATCCCAGTTGCGGAATCCGACCAAACAGTTGCGGAATCCTAGTTGCGGAATCCTGCGCAGTTGCGGAACTCGACTTTATCCTTATTCAATCTTTCGGTTGGCTAACATCACGTTCCCTTTTGAAGCTGGTGCCAGCCTGCCATTCTTCCATCCAAACCAACAACAGCTCCAACACACCACGATGCACGCCACGCAGGAAACCCGGCGGCGTTGAAGGCCTGACCCTTCCAAATGGCTCGTTGTGTTCCCAGCCGTTGGGCCAAATCCACGCCTTCTTCGCGCGCGCGCGCGGGTGGCCGCGCGCTTGCGGAGTCTGCCGTGGGTGGTGTGGTGAATTCATCGGCGGCAAAAGCGACGTCATCGGTGGCCAGGAATGACATGGTATAGACACGGAGGCTGCTGCGAGACGACGTGCCACGTTGTTTTCCTTTAATTCTTGATGCCCAGAAGATGAGTTTGATTGGAATTGAAGCCTTCATGATTTATTTCAGAACATTCACCAGTGACACCAGCTTTTGTGGAGCGATGTGGTGTTTGGTTCACTCATCTGGCGAGATATTTGAGGCCTCCGCGGGCCCTATTCCTGTCCACACAAACAAAAATAGCCAAGGGATCTTTGGTGATGCACCTGGGCCTTAATGGACAGAACAGAAATGGATGCTTCCCCAGTCCCAAGCACTGCAAATTGGTCAAAGGACCTCCAATTCTCGAACAATATCATGAAAACTTGCTTGCCCATGCTTGCCCAGAAGATCTCACCCCCTTGTTTCTCTAGAGGTCTCAAATCCTTCGGTTTCTTCCCGGTCAGCCCATCCCGGACTGCGCTGTCCCGGACAGGGGTCCCGCGGCGTCGTTCACGACGCGTTCTTCTCCGAGCGACAGGCCGTTTGCACCGCCTCCTCGGTCCGGTTCGGCCCTACTAGTCAGGACCCCCTACAGGTCGGGGCAGCAAAGAGCGGCTATGGGTCCCCCAGGTGACGGGTCCTATGTTCGGTCACTGGATACCTCTCTTTGGGTCAGGGTTTGGAATCATATGGAATCATTACCTGCTCATATATAGTTGGCCCTACAGGTCAGTTGTCTGGGGTCCCTTAAAAGGAACCCTAGGTTTGGACCGACCAAGGGCTGGTTTCACGGGCGGCGTCAGGATCTGCGACCTCGTGAAAGACTGCGAGTTGGTCACAACGCAATGCCCACGACTCAGTTGGAGGTACACCTAGGACCAGGTTCTACAGGCCTCCGTTAAAGATGTGTGTGCATTCTACCGACCAAACGGCTTCACGTGCTGGCAAAAGAATAAGCCAGGAGTCACAAGTACGGGGTGGTGTGGCTCGTCCCATCCAGGTGCGGATGTTCTGGGCACCCCTATCCTCCCCGGTGCATCCCAGGCAAACCACTATGTCAACCAGGGGCCCTCGTTCGGTCTATGGTTTTAGTCGAACTGGAACCACTGGTTTAAAAAGTGTTGCAAGCCTTCTCTTGTGCTGTCAGAACATGTACATGGCCTAAGTAACATTGCCTAAGTAGCAGTACATTGCCTATAAGTAACATTCAAGTTTGTTTTCACAACACAAGTTGTTTGCATATAAATTGTATTACCTGGGGTTATTTTAGAATAACCTCAAGGTTATGTTTAAAATAGACTATTTTCCAGTATAAGTTCAAGTCTATTTAAATAGACTAATAGTTAGAAAATAGTTAGAAAATAATCTAGAAAAACTGTTCTAACTATTAGTTAGAAAATAGTCTAATCTGGTCTTAGAGGTACCAGCCCCTAGGGATCCACGTACCTTCTCAGAAGGTGATTGGAGGCTATTTATGTAGGTTTGGATCCCTAGGGTCCATGGAACTGTTAGTTCTTTTCGTTCCCAGCGTAAGGATGGTAAGGACCGTCAAGGCCTCGTCCCCAAAAAAATGGATCTCGTCCAGGGCGTCACAAGTACGG